AAAGCTATCATGATTAATCGATACGATGCACAGTGTAGATTCTGCGCAAACACTTAGAAGGCGGCTCGATCGGTGAAAATGCTTTAGCACTTCAAAGAAATGTGTAAGTAGGTTACAGCAAAGCCCGTACGATTGCGTATGAGACGATAGCCAACATAAAGATGAGTATCGATCCTTTTTTTACCTTTAGTTTGTTTAAAGAGTCGATCATCGCAATGCAGGTGGAAGACCCTGCCAACGTATCTGAAGCGCTTATTGACATGATGCGGGCCGATAGGAAGAAGGGATGAGGTAAATAAATGACATCCTCGGACAAGAAGAAGAGGCAGAGACATTTCAAATTGATGATGATACACGATTCTGGCTGCGCAGGAGTTCCATCTGAACCTGTGCCATTTTATCGAGACTGATTCAATTATCTGTGCTCCTCCTTGTGGAGATCCTTTCACCTACACGCTAAGACGTCTTTATTATAATGGATCGTCGATCTTATCGATCAAAAGATTGGAAACGCGATATCGCATCCAATACACCACCAGACCACTAGCAATTGAGATGTTTGGTCACTGGAGTCTACTCGACATGCCTGACCTTTACGAGCGTGATGGCTTTGCGCTTTCCTAGGTTTTTACAATTGCCATTGCTGCCGCGTTGCAGTTGTAATTTCGCTTCAAACAATAGATATAAGGGGTCCAGGCAGCCATGTGGTGAAAAAAGTAAATTTATTGCCGACTTTCTTTGCATGGTCAAGCTGTCAGTAGCTCTTGTAAGAAATCCTTTTTTTCAGGAGTCTCACGGAATCGAGATCTAACGTCCAGCAAAAACAGATAAAAACATCGAGGATACGTAAGTCCTCGTTGAAGTAGCAAAAGAGACCTACTCAACATACCTCACGAGAACAGCCAGCTCTTTCGAAGAAAACATATCCAGACTGCCACTGTTAAACTTATCGCGAACCATTGCCAGTGGATCCATCTGCAGCGTACATGCAACGTCAGCTGACACGTTGATCATGCGCAAATGAAAACAAGCAAATACGTACCAAGATCGCTATGAGTTTCGAGAGCCTCTCCATACTGGGGACGAATTTTGCAGCTTGTGCTGGCGAAGCAAACAGCGTTTCAGACTGTACAAGTTATAGCCAAAAAAAATTGCCAGCACACAATTTAGTAATAAAGTCTCGCACCTCTAAGAGCGACGATAACAGGTGGTGGAGGTGAACTCCAGATTTTTCAGAAATTTTCTGAAAGCATAAATAGCATGAATATATGTTAGCAAGAGCTACATGTCAAGTCGGAATATACACAAGAAGATACCAACCGTTTGGGTGAAAACACCGTCCACGAAATTCTTTACTAGTGGCTCAAGCATCCGTGACATGATCTTGTTGTAGACCGCAAGAGGTAACCCTTCGTGCCACAATGAACTCATTTCATTCAGCTTGTAAAGTGCGCTCTTCAGGAATTTTTCCACGCGCTCCAAATCGTATTCTGAATCGAGGGCACCAAGTGACTACCGCAAATTGTAGGTGAGAGCCTGTATACTACTGACGTGCACTTTACTAGCCTACTTACCGGTAAATGCTTTATCCCAGACACAGCCTCTTCCATTTGCGCTGAGGCAAACGAAGTCAATGCCTGTTCACCGACTTCTCGAAAAGAAGGGACCATGTCCACCATTGTAGCGGTTTGGTTAAGAGGTGCTGGGAGCCTGCGCAGTGCAAGAAAGTTAGTTCTGCGTACTAATACTGCTGCAATAACTCACTGTGTCACGTACCGATCCTTGTAGATATGCCCAACTACCAGCATGTGATGTGTAATGTATATGCAGTCATTATGATACAGCATACAGGTTCGGGGGTCATTTGCAATATCGTTATCGTATAACGTGGATATCACAGTTCGAAATAGAAAGAAAAGATCTCGCGCTGTCTGGAAAAGTAAGTTTGCGTTCGTCTCGCCAGAAGCGCATGCCTCTACAAGAGTTTGATGCACCAGCTCCACCACCTCATGAGCACAAACAGTCACCAGGTAGTTGGGGACCTGAAAATAACTGCTTTCGACATCGTCTGTACTCCACCTGTCAGGCGTATCATCAATTCCAAGACCTTTTTTCTCGCCACTTGTACCTTTCTTGCCCGATCCAGTGGATGCATTGAGGCAACATTTCTCGGAGGCGCCCGTGATTTTGACAGAGTCATGGTACCCTTGGCGCATCAAATCACGCCCACTGCTCAATATGGCCTGCCGGCGTTTTTTTGCGTGCAATCTGCAAATATACCGTAACATGACAGCGTCAGTAGTCGGCCCATTGGACCACAACAAAAATAGGTCAACGTACTCGCTAAGTCGGTTGACAAAGCCTCGAAGTTGACTATTGCTGCAAGCCGAGAAACCGGTCGCCACTAACGTGTTCTCCAAGGTAGCGATCTAACGGTGTGATAAACATGAGAGATAAAATATCTACATACAGAGAACACAAAAAAGTGTAACGCACGCACACTTGTCATAAGGACTTCTCGGTACGCGTCAAGTGCGGTGACATCGTGCGGAATTTTTTCTTGTAGCAGATTCATAACCTGGGCCTCAAGGTTACCCGGAATCTTCCACATGAAATCGCCAAGCTGATTCATCAGCTCAGGTGTACTCCCAAAAAGCTCTACATAGACAAACTGAAGCACCTTGACAACGTTGGCACATTTATCCTGTATCTCTGCTTCTCCACTCTTCACTGAGGCATCATCAATCTCCGAGCTTTGCGCCACAACTTCCAGCACAACACCGCTATCATCCTCAATCTTCTGTATCAATCCTCTTTGCATCTGTAACATCGGTTTTATAAGGTGTTGTGAGACGGCTTTCGCAATGTCCTTCATTTTTGGTGCCAGGATTCCCAGTACTTCGCACGCCTTCCAAAACTCCCCACGTCGTTCGTCCACTACCAACGTGATCGCTCCCAATACATCATCCACAAAACTTGTTGCCACCTTTAACGTATTATCTTTCCAAACCACCGTAGAAGCGAAATACTGCGTCAGCTCATTCAGGAGCCGATTTTTCTCACGCAACAATTGCAACTTAACAACTCGAATGAGTTTTCTGCCGTCTGCATTAACTCCATCTCTTTTCTCTGCTACCTCAAGGTCATGCACCAATCCCTCCACTTCAACAATGCTCTCCGCCGCTGCAACAAAGCGATGATGTCCAATTGATTCATCTACGTCTCCTAGCAATCGATCCGTCTCTTTGAGTTGCTCAATCAGAGCCAGCATGGTCTTCGATTGCTGTATTTGCTTTGTCAGTTGTTCTTTGTGTGTCAACGATAGTAAAAGCTGAGCTTCTGGTGCCATCTCGCCACTCTTGTCCAGCTGTAGGCGATCCACAGCGTCCAGTAGCGCCACATTCAGCCGTCGCATCCGCTCCTGCAGGTCCGACGCGTCTACATCATTTCCCGTCATGGAAATCGAGTGTGACGTGCCCCATTTAGCTGCAATCTTGATGGCTTCGTCCGCAGAGATGTTCGAGGACGAGGAATAGAAAGAGCGTAAGGTCTCCACTACCTCACGTTGCACTTGAAGGAATTCTGCATGGGTATCTTCAAGTTTTCTATACGAATATAATGCATTAAGAGGCTCGTAAGAGAGTAACGGGATCATCAGTTAAGAGATGGAGAGAGACAGCTCGTACCTGGTCAATGAATCTAGTGATGCCATTGTTTTAGACTTGTTTTTATTTGTCCTGAAATCATTTTTAAACAGGGGTACACTAATTATTGCGAAAAAAAGGTAAGGGTTATGCTCGTTATTAGTTTGTTTGATTAAAGACCAAGAAGTAAAACTTACCGAGAGCAAAAAATAATGGAGTCAACTGCTGGTCTGTGCGAGCTCGAAGTGGATTCAAGCGACATCATCCACTTGATCCTGCAGTTTTTACGTGAGAACCGCCTATTTCATGCCATGCGTGCGTTACAGGAGGAATCTCAAGTGAGTCTCAATGCTGTCGAGTCGGTGGAGGCATTGGCCAGTGACATCTCACACGGTCGTTGGGACCTTGTACTGCAGCAGACAAAAGCTCTCGAATGCAGTGCCTCTGCCATGATGGACCTCTATGAGCTCGTGGCAATTGATATGATGGAAGTGCAAGAGAACGACGTGGCTGTGCAGCTGCTGCGCAATACGTCAGCGCTGGCTAAAATGAAACAGACACAGCCAGAGCGCTATCTGCGGCTTGAAAAGCTGGCCCAAGGAGCAAATTTTGACCCTTTAGAAGCTTATATTGGCTCCAGTAAGCAAAAGCGACGAGATGAAGTTGCACAAGTTTTTTGCAGTGAATTGTCAACTGTGGAGCCATCTCGACTGCTGGTTCTACTGGGCCAGGCACTCAAATGGCAACAGCTCCAGGTAATAAGCTTGTAATGGTTTTATAGCTTGAAGGTGGTAAGATTGGAAATTGACGATGATTGTTGTAGGGCATGGTGGCTCCAGGAGAAGACTTGAATTTATTTCGAGGCAAAGCTAAGGAAAAGGTGGTTGACCGCTCGGAAAAACTAGTGCGCAAACCGGCGGGCAAGATTAAGTTTAGCAAGACTTCGATGCCCCAATGTGCGCAATTTAGTCGTGATGGGAGGATACTCGTGACGGGTGCAAAAGATGGATTTGTGGAGGTTTGGGATTTCGAAAAATGCAAACTACGAAAGGATCTTGACTACCAGGCGAAGGTACGGTGAATGCAGTTGTACGCAGGACGCTGGAGTTTTGTAGCTGAGGTACTATCTGCTCTCTTTTTGCTCTGAAGGATGAGTTCATGATGCACGATGTTAGTGTGACAGCACAAGCTTTTAGTCGAGATGGAGAATTGCTGGCAACAGGTAGCGAAGACGGTAACGTCAAAGTGTGGAAGGTTTCCACTGGAATGTGTCTACGTCGCTTTGACAAGGCGCACAGTCAGGGAATCCAAAGTATCGTGTTCTCACGGGATGGCACACAGCTGCTGACGGCTTCGTTTGATCATCTTGTTCGCATTCACGGTCTCAAGTCGGGTCAGACGCTCAAAGAGTTTCGTGGCCACCAAAGCTACGTCAACACAGCCTTCTTTTCGTCGGACGCCACCAGAGTCATTTCGACGTCGAGTGATGGAACGCTAAAGATCTGGAGCACCAAAACGGATGAGTGTCTTCACACTGTGCGGCCGCCTAGCGAGTCCTATACTGCAGAAATCGATGCCGTGAGTGCGTTGCTAGTGCCGAGCCCATCTGGGGCCAGGGACAGTATCGTTCTTTGCACGCGCACGAGCGACATGTATCGTGTATCAATGGAAGGGGACGTAGTGTTGACGTACAGGGGAGATTCTCTCGATGAAAAGAAAGTTGGTAACTTTGTCGCTTGTACGCTGTCGATGCGTGGCAAATGGCTCTACGGCGTGACCGACAAGGGTTTTATCGTGAGCTTCGACACCGCAACGGGCGAACTCGAAACGTCAATGCAAATCTGCAACGCCGATGCATTTGGCATTACTCACCACCCGCACCGCAATCTTGTAGCTACGTATGGCAGTGACCGATACGTCAGATTATGGAAAGCGTGATGCAGCGAAAACTCAATCCAAAAGATTTGCTCTGTGTCAGTCGCCAACTTTAATGTGGCATGCCAGACCTCTTCATCTTCGCTGACGTTGCCTTTTCAATTACCGCGGGAACTCACGTGTCAACGCCGAGAAGGCATCGGCGCGCGATGATGTTATAAACCTTTCTTGTAAGCTTTTCTGCGCAATCAATGTGTCTGAAGTACAAATGAGCGTATCACGCACTCACATAGTAATCCTGGAGGATTGTCGTGTATGGTAATCTAGTGTTTCGTGCCTTTCTTAACCTTGCCTACCTTCTTACTACTCTTCGCCAGCTTTTCACGCTCTTCTTCTAGCGCAAGCTCTTCGCCGAGCTGGTATGGCGACCGAAAAGATGCTGAAATATCGCTGGATGCAGCTGTAGCGACGCCGTGTACGCGAGAGCCAAATCGGCGCTCAACACCTTCGTTCTCAGAGGTGTCCCAGAGCGCCAGCACACCCTTTGAGCCACCGACGCCGAGCATGAACGGCGAGTCTTGGTAAAAAGACAGCGTAAACAATTCACCCTGCACAGCACACAATAAATTGTTAGACGATCCTACAGCTTAATTTTCCACTGCATCAGCACAGCTACGTACCACATTCATCTCCTTCGAAGTGACACACACAGGGGTGTTATCATTGAGGTCCCAGAGCTTAACTGTCTTGTCAACGCCAGCGGTTGCCATCAAGCCAGGCACCTGAGCAGAGAAAGAAATTGCTGACACGGCGCTAGCGTGGGCGTCGAAACGGAACAACGGGGTTGAGCCATTAACTCGCACGTCAAAGCCCACAACGACGCCGTCTTCTGCTGACGCCACGATGGTGCTCGGGTTGTGTGGCATCCATGCGATACTCTCCACTTCAGCACTTAGTTGGAACTTAGAAAAGGCATCAGGCTGACGGCCATCCAGCACCACAATTTTTCGATCAAACGAAGCACTAGCGAGCACAGTCGTTTCCGCTGGATTCCATCGCACGCTCTGCACCTTGTTACTGTGGTGCGCCATGGTATACAAACACTTTTGTGTCGTGATATCCCACACCTTAACCGTCGAGTCGGCGGAGCCACTTGCCAGCATGTTCCGGTGGCTGCTGTTCCAGTCCAGCGCCATGACGGAATCTTGGTGACTACCAGGTTGGAGAACTGTCTTGCAGTTCTTCCGTCGCTTCGACATCTTAGGCATGGCGACATCACGCAGCTTATCATCCTGTTCACCGCCCAGCGTCGCCGAGGGCTCCAGCACGTCCATCACATTGAGATCCCAGATCTCAATTCCTGGCTTGAACGTGCCCACGGCCACGAAGCTGCCATCCACAGGCCCCGTCCTCGGGTCCAGTGGCACCGGAGCGCAGTCCATCCAGGCCATGCACAGCGGGAAAGCTGGCAAGTTGATTTCATGGTGTACGTAGAGCGCGCCATTCTCATCGTCGTAGACTTGCACTTCGATGCTGCTAAAATCCTCCTCCGTATTAGCGACGAGGATAACACTGTCTGTAGGACGAATCTCCACGTCCTCTTTGTCTATCTCCAGTTCGTCGTCTTGGTCGTCATTCTCCTCGTCCTGCATGGCCTCGATGTCATCGTCACTGGACATGCCATCGACCTCGTCCTCCTCTTCGTCATCTTCGATCGCACCAGCACCAGCACCAATGTAGTTCTTGATAGCTGCATCATCATCCTCTTCATCATACTCATTCATTTTGAACGAGGCCGGCAGTCCCGTGCTATCCTTCTCGTCTTGGCTCTCCTGAACTTCAGCAGCGGCATCTTCCGCTTCCATAGCTTCTTCCATTGCGTTTTGTTCGTCCACCTCCTCTTCTAATGCGGCCTTGGACAATATCTTCATTTCGTCATCGGTAAACTTCAGCTTTTCCGGGATACGACGCGATGCGCCTTTGGGAACCCATACGAGCGCAGAGATCATGGTTGATACACTCGGATGAATGGACGGTGACGTGTGATGTCCATCAATTTGAAAACTGTGCTATAGAATATATGTAAAGACTTTAAGAGCTGAGGAACAAAGTCGTGCAGCTTGAATTGGAAGTCCTGCACCCGTTTTTTAGTGCCCGACTTGATCGCTATATCAAACTTTTTGCAACCTCTGCATTCCCTCACGTAGCCTTGTACGTGTTGAGGACATCCGGGTTTCCTTTTCCCGAGCCTAGTTGCGTTAGGTGGTTCAAGTAATGAACATCGGGCTCTCAAAGGAATAGTCAGCTTTTTGGTCCAGCTTCAACGCGAAACCTCTTGCTGAGGTTTCTCAGAGCTGTTGCCGCTTCAGTATAGCATCGTTTCTTTCGTACTGGCGATCGTTTTTTCTGCACCTTGTTCAAAGGCATCGTCACTGTAATGAAAGGGCAAGGTCAAGTTTGGCTGGATCGACATTTAATGTAGTCGATTCTTCGCGCGGACATATTGCATGCAGTTTAATATCTAAGGTTGGGCGTCAATCACCACTACCTAAATCTTAGTACAGTTCTAGCTAGTGATTTTTCAAAAGAGCGAGAAAAGCTTCCTCGGTACTATAGAGTTCACTTTCCTAATACTGTAAGAATCCTACATGGCTCCAATAGAAAACACGGTTTGCTGGGAACACTTATTTCACCACGTCCAAATACTCAGCAAATTAGACGATTGACCTTATAATCGCCGAGCTTTGAAGTTATGCCTTTGGAGTTTCGCTGAGAAAAACTTTCTGCGTTTTGCACTTGAGGTTGTCACAGGATGAGTCCGTTACATCGTATTGACACTTATTTGAAGTGTCAATAAAAATATTATTTTGGCTAATAATATTTGACAATACAGATCTTCCTCCAATAACTTTGTCCTCCATTAAGCTATAACGTCCGGTTAAAAATTTCTTGTCCACCGAGCTTTTATGGTATTAGTTATAAGTTATAGTCAAGCAGGGCAACATAACTTCATAAAATAAGTACTTTTCTTGTATTTTGAACGAGAAATCTATTTCAACCAGATGTCAAGGGTACTTTGGGTATGGGTGCGCAGCGAAAAGTCCAGTTGAAGGTCGCAGGAGGACTCTATATGTAACGGGCGAAAAGTTACACGGCAGGCCCAAAAGGGGTACGAGATACCTTAGGCCTGTGGCACATCAATGTGACCCACCCTCGTGAATGTAATATCCATGGATGGATTCACATTTAACGAGGATGACGCCAGTTGGGACTGGGCGTCATGGTGACGCTTCAAACAGACGTCATAAGCGAGCTTAAATATAGTTAAGCTCGCTCGTAAGAGATACGCATCCAAAGAGACGCGTATCCAGTTACTTTCTATTAAATATAAGTCAGTCTTGAATTTACTACTATCGCCTACTGCGCACGAGAAGCTTAACAAGCTTCTGCGTAGGTACTTCTTAGTTGTTCGTTGCGCGGATCGCTCTAAAAGTCCGGCAACAGTTTGGTTCGGCGCTTTAAGAGACCGACCAGTGCAACCACCATCGCACACGAAGGTAAGACGATATAACCGCTTCCTCGCGCTGCTTGATAGTGTGCCCGCGTAGTACGTGGCATCTTCTTTACGAAGCGCCCGTCTACACTTGATAGCACTAGTAGTCCTTCCCACGACCCTTCTTTCTGAGCGTACGTGTGTATACGGATGTCCCTCAACGTGAATTGGGGTAGTTTTACTCACCTCTTTCAACATCATAGGGAGGTGGCAGAGCGCTTCGTGCAGGGACTTGGTGAACAAACCCTGTCCAACCTCTCGCATTGTCCTCCTGAGCAACATGTTGCTCAGTTGGAGCAATTTGAAGCGTTTGTGCTCGGACAGCGTAGAAACGCGTCCTAGGTAAACAGACAAGCCACCGCTGAGTCCATCACTAAGACTCAGGATGAGCTTAGGCTTGAGCAGGCACGTAATGAGGCGCTCAACAGAACTGTTGATACGCTCTCTGCCCGGCCTGCTCAACCGAGGCCCATTCGGATGGACCCTCCGAAGTTCGATGGAACTAGCCCTCACACGATTGTTCACTGGATATTAGCAGTTGAGCAATGCGGTATGGCGCAACTCATCGAAGACGACACCAGAATGGTGTCGTATGCCATGTCCAATTTGCGTGGCAAAGCGTCAGAGTGAGCATAATCTGCGCTGATTGGTAATGCTGATTCATTTCTATCATGGGCGATCTTTAAGTCAAAGATTCGCGCCATGTACCAGCCGCCTAACAACGAAGTATTGCTTATGGCGCGCTTCTTTGGAGCACGACAGGCGAAACGCTCTCTGCAAGAATTTGTGCAGGAGATGCGTTCGCTGTCGGCGTCCATTAATGGGGAACCGATACCAGAACGTATCAAGGTGGCCACGTTCATGAATGGACTTAGGCACGGCCCATCGCGTCAGGCCCTTTTTAGAAAGGTGCCAGCGACGATGGAAGAGGCAATTGACATTGCCTTAGCTGAGGAGCAATCCTACAACAGCGCCTCGTCGACAGCCTATAACAGGCCGTCGTCCGAGAAGTCTGATGCCACTCCTATGGAGTTAGGTAATGCAGATGTTATCTGCTACAAGTGCGGCAAGCGAGGCCATATGATGGATCGCTGCTATGCTAAAGTTGCTGCTGGTGCTAAGGCAGCCAGCAAAAGGTCCCCCAAACCGAAGGGTGGTTCGAAGAACCGTGCACGTCGCACGAATTCAGATTCGACCCCCGACAAGTCGGGGAATGCGGGAGCGCAGTAGAGGCGGTATGCCCTACTGTCGCGGACTCTGAAGCTACCCCTAAGTTCAGAGTGATCGAACAAATGGGTAGCATAGTCCCTGAGGTTCCGAAAGGTCGGACCTCAACACTTTGGTCTATAGCGCTCGAGTACGAGGCTATGACCAAGTGATGACCCTTCTCGTGGATTCGGGTGCATCACAAAACTTTGTGAACCTCGCGGCTCTGAAAAAGAGACCGGCGAGTTATGAGTCGCTTTGCCAGGATGGCAAGCGAGAAGAGGCGATCGTTCATTTAGCGAACGGCGCGCTCGTAAAATCGGAGGGAGCTCAAGTTGAACTCGCCTTCAGCTTTAGTGACTTCTCTTGTAGAGAGAATCTTACATTGCTAGGTATGGAGAGCCCATATGACCTCATCCTAGGCATGCATAGGTTGGCTAAGCACCAACCATGGATTGACTGGCGTACACGTACAGTCGCTAACTCTACGCAGAACACCGAAAAGGATGTGCTACTGCGAGAGGCTGATGTGGCTGATGCTGCGTTAAACACAGCCGAGGGTGCGCTGACAGTATGTCATACGTCATTGGGTACTAATCAGCTTGCTGAGCCTGGTGTTGTTGGAAGTGTCCTTACAAAAAAATCAGGCTACAAAAAAAATTACACTTGCCCAATAAGTATTGCATACTTAACAGGTTCGTGTAACGTTTAGCCCATTATAGGTCGCAATCCTCGGGGAAGGCGGAGCGACCTCTGAGAAAGCGAATTGACTCTTGAGGAATTATCAGGGAGTGATCGATAGTACAGACACAAAAGATAGCTAGAATTATAAATTTCAATACATTTATTTTCTCATTTTTACAGCTCCTACCCACTAGCCTTAAACATATAATAACTATAATAGTAATCATATTATGCAGACCTCTTAACTGCATGACACGTCATTTCATTAAATACTTAGTACTACCCTATCAGTTATCGAACCGGTATTATATATTTTCACTCACAATTAATAGCTCTTTTAGGGGCCAGTACTAAGAATACATTCTGTCGTTAATTAGCCCACATTCCCAAATTTGTCCAAATCTAATTGGTAAGAATATTTTTGGCCCTTTTTAGAAGCAGAAAGGGTCATCGATAATGATGGATACTTTACTCGTTAAACCACAATAAACCGCCTTGCATCGCCTCCACAGCTTGCATATGCATCCCTAGAACAAGCAAGAGCATCAGCAGAAGTAGATGTAGAATCATTAGATTGAATTGCCCAAAAGGAAACTCCATAATCAAAATTTTAAAAAATGCGAACATCATGACAGAAGCGTTATTACTTTTTAGTTATATAACGCTACTTTTCTTCAAAATCGGCTATTTCTATAATCCTTTCGCTGCTAGAGCCTCATTGCCATGCTTGAAATGGCCAGTGAACGACTGCGCCTATACACATGTTGTAAACATGTGCGAGCCGCGGGTTATAGGACAGGCTCAGAGCGATTGAAGAGTGCTGAACCAGCTTTTACGACGGCCATCAGCAGCTTTTGTCTATTGTCAGGATAAATTCATAAAAGGCGCGGCTATTACCAAGAGCAAACAGCCTGTTTTTGTTGTTGTGGTGTTGTTAGGAAAAGACCTTTAGTCGTTTTAGAGGAGTCAAGCTGATATAGATCTATACCATGTTATAGTTTTGGGAGGCACTGATGGCTGATTGCCCAGTTCAGCGTTGATCGTGGTGCCGGACCGCATCAGCTGCGGATCAACAGCAAGAGCCGTTTCGCCTCTGATTTTGTTTTCTCGCAAAGCAATTTCGTACTCGCAGTTGTTGCACTCGTCAAATGAAAGCATAATTTTTGACGACACAATTGACGAGAAGATCTACAAAGCCGCGGTTGTCCTTATAGAGCCTGGTCGAAGCAATTTTTGATGATATGATTCGACAAGACCCTGAAGAAGAGCTATTTGGATGTGAACAAAACGGCTTGCTTGGTTAAAAAAGGAAAGCAGTAATGCAAAATTTGGTGCTGCGGTATGGAGCTTAGAAGAAAGTTCAAGGGTGTGTAGAATTGATGATCCTCTTATACTTCCATGCTAATGCTGCAATTGTACCGTCCTGAGCAGTGAGTGACTTTGAGAATATAAAATGCGCTAATAAAGACTAGGTATCGACCGCTCTGTATTGAGAAGGAAGTGCTTGCGAGCTCCTTTACTGCTCAAACATGTCGTCAAACGAAAAGCCCATCCTATGGACGCTTGAAATATTTGAATTTTGGGACGGATAGTAATCGTAATCCGGCTATCTGGCGTCAATCCCGTGCACATCTTCGAGATTTAACCGAATCTAAGCCACATTATTCTACTTAACTGTATGTCCGACAAACGCGCTTCGTCAATTGGGCGCGGCCCAAAATTCCATTTGTGACACGGTCAATATGATTCACAAATATTCCAGTCATGATGAGCTGAATTTCGTCAATTTGCAGCGGCAATCTACTGTCGTACCTGACTTGGCGCTTTGTAATTAATTCGTCGCAGGCAGTGTCCGTCCCATTTTGATCACGCGCCTACGCAAGTTCAAGGGGAATTGAAGTCGCCCGCGCGCACCGTCTTCTTTCATCCCGTCGCTTGCATGAGGGAGCTGTTTGAACCTGGCCTTGGCAAGCCACTTCGCGAGATTTTTTTTGTTCAAATAAAATCTTGCTGTGTATACATCTGCTTCTTCGTTACAATCGCGTCAAGCCTTCTTTTCTTCGGCCGCTTACGAAGGTTTCGGATACTACCATGCATAGTGATGATGGCGATCTATCACCGGCTGTCCTGTCCACGGCCCTGCCACGATCTTTCGTAAACTCGCTCTCTGTATCTATGTGCACGTCTCTGCATCAATTTGTTGCGCACGCAAGCGCCTCTTTCCCAATGGCCTTTGTCGGTTGTGAGTTCTTCCCAATCTGCTGTATTACTTTGCACATAGACCAAACGTTTGTCTTGGGATCGGATCTCCAGATATCGCTGGACCATTTCTCCTGTCCGTAAACCAACGCTCATTTCCTTTTTCATCCATAAGTGCGTAAGCTCGACCTACAAACTACAGAGTGATGCGTCTTCAATGCATCAATTTGCTTGCTGCAGCAATCGTCCTCGCCGGCACTGACATCTCGGCTGCTACCCATGTGAAGCCGAGTCAGGGAGGCAACGCATCTACAAATAGACTGTTAAGATCGGAGACTTCAGCGACTTCAGCAGACGTCGATGGTGAAGAGAGGGGGTTGTCTTCTTTTTTTGGCTCTCGATCGTCGAAGGCGAAACCTTTGGCAAATGTAATAGAATCTAGCGATGATACTGCTGCCGAGGCTGAAAAGTCATATAATCAAATTATCGATTATTTCAAAACGCGTACTGATAAGTTGAATTTGGAAACTTTCGTAAGGAAACATTTTAATAAATGGACTAATATGGTAACTAAGCACGGTACTGATCATAGCTACTATTATCCAAGAGCACCGAAACCATTTGACGCTGTATACGAAAGGTATGGTGAAGATGAAATGGTGAAAGTGGTGGACCCTGATAGTTATTTAGGAGCAGCCCTGATGAGTGTATGGTGGAAACATAGGTATAGCTTTGCCGATGTCGTACAGATCGAGGATAGATTAGGAATTAAAAGAGGATGGCCCGAGGAGTACCAAAAATTTTTTTAAAAAAAACAGAACATTACAATGATTAAAGAATGGAAGCAGATAGAGAAAATAATTGAAACCTAAAAATAAAATACCTATCGAGTAGCCATATTGCTGGCATATCGACTATTTGAGGTGTGCCATGTTTTATTGTCACAAGTCCTTGTTTACATTTAGAATTCAGTAATGTCTTAGAGCCTTTGTGCAAAGCTAATGGTACGATTGACACGATGGTGTTGGCTTTCGCCGCGATGATCTTTGGATGCAACGACTATTGGAGTCTGTTGTACCTCCTTTAGAAGGAATTACAAAGGGAATAGCTTAGAATTGCATTACGTGACATTTATTCTACAGACCTGCTGCAAATAGGACCTGCCGAGCCGAACTAATACATTGCAGCGCTGAGAGCGATACTAGTTCAGATGCAAGGCTCATCGTTTATTCAAAGCAACGCATATTTGGCGCTCTCAACGGTGTTTAGTTGTGACGGGAAATACTTAGAATGATCGCGTGGACTACAAGTGAGTACGTGTAGGCTGAGGCTGATAGTTATCATCTCGCCAGCATTGTGTACAAGAAATATTGAAGCCATCAGCGTCGTTTGACTCCGCGACGTGTTCTTCGCTCATGCATTTGACAATATCCGTAAAGGTAGTGCCTAACCGATGACGATTGCTTCACACAAACATTTCTTTGTTTAGACTGAGAAGACAGAGAACATGGTCTGTGTGTGTCTTTCTGTGCTTCTTTGCTGTTTATGGTGTGGGTTTTGTTGGTTAATAGGGTGACGAGGATGAGCTGAATGGAGACAAAAGCAGCAGTGAAGAGGACATCTTCATTGCGGTGTATGGCACGGTTGATCACAGCTCAGCTTCAGATGAGTCTGACTCCAATGAACCTGCACCACGCCGTAACATTTGTGACTTGATGGGCCATTATCTGTTAGATTACCCGTCGCCAGACAGTCCAGTAAGACTTACCAATGGTAATGCTAATGCTGCAAATGCTCAAGCTGCTGCTGAGATGCTGGAGCGAGCCAAGTATATTCCCCTGTGACTCACATACGAAGAACGTAAATTACTGCGTGGCCTGGAGGCAGCGTTGTGTGTGAGTAGCTTGGCTATACAGACAAGCTGGACACGCCCAAGTTCCTGCCGACGGCCAAGCGCGTGCGTGCACAGCTGCAAGATGTATGTGGATTCCTGTCGGCGTTAGCGGTGGCGTCGGACTACAAGGCTGGAGAAGAGATTATTGACGAAAAGAAATTTGCCGACTGTGCCGAGTTCTTTCTTCAGGAGATGTTTGAACTGGGTAGACGATACAAGATCATGAACCCAGAGAAATGCGCGGTGAGTACGGCAAGCTCATGTTCTTGTTGCAGGACGCTGTAAGTCCGGAGTTGCAGGAATTGTTAGGATTCTCTTGCCTGCAGAAAATTCGCACTGTGCACGATGTGGCGGAAGCTGGTGGTGCTTTGGATATGTTACGCGATTCTCGCATTCAGACTGCGACGAGGGTGGTTGCTCCTGAGGGTAAATCACGTTCTCAGATTCAGCGCCAGATAAAGCAGAAGGAGCAGGCATTCAAGCTTTGAGCGACAAGTACGAAAGCCGACGTTTCTCACGTGATTGTCTCCAGCAGTGTCTGTACTCGATCGCAGATAACAATTACCATCTGTACTTCGAGCGCGACCCGATCGATCGCATGATTAAGCTTCTAATTACGAATTTCAACCCAGACGACGAGGATGGAGATAGTTCTTTGGCCATCATTAGCGGAAATGACGGTGCACGATTGTCCCATTCGCACGATCGGCAGTACAACTATGTGCTTCAGTCTCTGACGCTCTGGCGCGAGATCGCGCATGACATGTTCCGCCTGTGGTGTCTGACAGACGAGGACCTACTCACCGATGTCACACGGTATGAGCTGACGGAGACCGGTCAGGGTCTGCACCGCATCCAGTCTGCGCCTCGTGTTTCTCGTGCCATGCACGTTATTCTTCCCTCTACTATGCGCAGTTTAGACTCGTGGGTGGGCTCAAGTGTCATCCGTTTTGGAGACAAGAATGTCCCCAACGCGCTCATGTTCATCATTACAACCAGGTAGGGCATACTTTGCGTCCAATCGTCAAGGCTATCGATAGTATTGAGTCCATGTGTGAGTCTCCAAAAACTCAAGGATATGTAGACACCACGTTCGGTGGGGCTCGCACGCTGAAGCACACTATTCTGGCAGACTTCTTCCGCGAAGCTTTCGGCGACAGCGGAGCGGACAATTTTTTCGAGGCTGGATCATGCATTGATGGACGACTTACGAGCGAGCGCCTGGAATTGGTGCTCGAACCTCCACACAAAGCCATTCTTCCCTATTTTCAAGATTACAGGCTTTGTAGGCTTTGATGGCAAGTTTGGATAGATTGGTCGGCGTCTTGTGGTGTTGCATTCGGGAGTGCTTGGAGCAGTTAGAGATATGACAACACATCATGTACTACGCGTTCTTGAGGTAGTCTGTTGATACTCCAAACACTGCTACAATTACGCTACGCATAGCGTACGCGGTAGCTTGTCCTCTCAAAATTTGCTAACTAGTCTGCCGTTTTTACATTAACACTGCCAGCGTCACTCTGCCTTGCAGCAGCAAGAGATCGAGGAATTCGATAGCCTTGCACAAACGTAGATGTCGTCCAGCTGATGTTTGTGTACCGTGATGACCTACAAGCCAACACCTTATCAATTACATTCACCGTTCCAAAGCGGTTACTATTGACGTACAACTTCTTAACAGCACGACCACGATCATGATCATCGTCGAGTAAAGGTGAAAGATGAGTCCATATTCTTCAACGTATGTCAAAGCACCACAGCAAAAACATCAAGTAGTCCATTCCGTACTGTAACCTACCTACATTGTCTGCAATCGGATGACGTGCCTACCGAACGTAGAGACGGATTGGACGGGTCTGAGTATTTCATCCATAGCTTTTGTAGCCGTGACACGAAGTGTCCAAGTCATTTGCCACGCCGACAATTGTACTCGACGTCAGTTCAATCGTTACAAAGAAGCAGGTCCGAAGTAGCGCCAAATTCAAAGAATCAACGGTCGGGTTGTGAACTTCTGTCTTGGTTGGATATAGAACTTCAGTCCATCAAATTGCACGTCAAGAAGGGTCGTGTAGACGTCGAACCAGCCACCACTGGCTCTGGCTTTAGTCTACATCGACGGTTTCCGCTGTACATCACAAGAGTGCTACCAATGGTATTGCTTTATACGCTTTTATTGTCGTTCAGAAAGAGCCTCATCTTGTCGTCTTCCAATAATTCCAAGCCACGCCTTTACTTGGTCATCTAGCTCACTTCGCTGGCGGGCCTTGACGACAAGGTTTCCACCACGACTGAAATCAACACCAGCAACGCGGATGGTACTTGCAGCACAACAGTAGGACTTCAAGTTTTGACGGACTTGTTATTTCCATCAAGTCGACACTGGACCCAAGCAGTCATGCTAGCACTTCTAACGCTAACGACGTTCAAGCACAGTGACAACAACAGATTCATTTATAATACTATTGCATTCAAACATGCCTACTTCTTTTCCTTGTCAAGCTCATACAGCAACAATTTGTACTTCCAGTGATCAATCCAAACGGCTGCGGCCTCTTTTCCATTCGAAGAGCTCAGCTGTTGATGTTGTCACCAGCTCCGCCTCCTGGCTGCCAGGTGACAAGGGTCTTGCACCGACGTAACTTTGATTCAATCGTGCATTCTCGATGCTGCCCGTGATTGTAGCGTGTTCGGAGATGCTACTGGTATTTCCTGGACCATTTCGCCTGGGTTTCTTTCTGTGAGCAGAAAGTTTTGTACAAGCCACCGGTTGGGTCACTTGACGTGAAGACACTTCCACTTCGCGTCCTGGGGCAAGCGCTTTGACCGCAGTGATGCGCGAAATTGTTGTAACGTTTGATGAAACATTCTTTGTCGTCGTTGATGAGCGCTTTCCTGGGGCATGTGCTACGGCAGCCAAAGAGGAAGCCATTTCTTGGGTTTTCTGTATGGTTTGAACGGTAGAGCGGAGGTTCACGATGGTATCTGCCGGAGCGGTGACTGCAGGTGCACTGGTGTTTATACCGCTAAACGCGGTTTCAGCTCGAACCATCGACGAAAACGATGCGCTTGAGTGGCGATCTTGGGCAAGCTGCTGCAGGTACAGTACAATTTCAAAAGCGCTAGGACGCTCTTCAGGGTCAGTACGGAGACAACATGCAGCCAACTCCAAGATTGCAGGCGGACAATCGTCCGAGAATGCAGGGCGCTTGGTACCACGAGCCACAAGACGGAGAATCTCATTCTCTTGTGCCTTGCCCTGCGGCGGATGCTGGGCATTCCAGTACGGGTAATCATCCGTGTCAATTTCAGATAACACGACACCGAACGAATAGATGTCAGCACGCTCGTCGTAGTCGTGACCAAGAAGCACCTCCGGTGCAATCCAGAATGACGTGCCGATGCCCACCGTCATGTGCTCACTGCCATCGTACGCGCTACGTTCACGCGCAATGCCAAAGTCACTAAGCTTGGCTTCCATGTCGGCGTTCAGCATCACGTTTTTTGCTTTCAGGTCGCGATGAATTACTGTCGGGGTTAATCCGTGTAGATAAGTCAGGGCTTCGGCGATGTGCAACGCGATATCTGCCTTGTGGGACTCCCATGAGAGGCGGTAGCCACGACGCTTAAACCGTCTAGTGACATCACGCAGGTCGCCACGCTCCATCAATTCTGTCACCGCCGATAGCTCAGCGGGTATCGTCCAGCATGCACCAATGAACTCTACGATGCGCGGATGGCTCAGACCAGAAATGAGCGAGATCTCGCGCACGAATTGCTCTACTTGTTCGCGACCGACATCACGCTCATTGCGAATTTTTTTGACTGCCACCTGCCGCCCTCGATAACTGCCCACGAAGACAAGACCGAAGCCTCCACGACTAACACAGCGACCTAGTATCAGCTCACCGTAATCCAGTCGGCACGATGCCAAAACTTTGTCGGTAGCTAACGTCACGCTCATAGCTGTGGAGTCATCACTATCGACGCTGTTGCCGTGAGACCGTCCGTATCCGGGATATGCCTGAGCAGCAACAACAGTACGAGCAGTACCAACAGCGGCAATGACGTTGTCATGGTTGAGTGCGTCGCCGAAAGTGTGGTTGACGTTGTACTGCGGTGTTACTGGCTCAATGGTCTCCGGCGATACGATTGAGCTAATGTCGCTTTCGCGGCTGTAGCGACGACGCTGCCAGGTCACCAACAGAAGCACAAAAAATACGGTGATAGCACCCGCGATGATCCAGTAAGCCAGCAGTCCGAGACCGTTATTGTCGCCGTCGCCGGTTGATCCCGATGACTGAGGTGGATCGGGCGCTGCGGCCGTGGACGCGCTGAGAACGCAAAAAGCAGTACCGTGTGCTGACTGCCACGCGCCACCTTGACAAGTTAATAATGAAGATGGTGTATCCACCTTGAACGCTGTAAGAGCTTGGATTTGTTCAAACTGGTCTTGACTCACGTTGAAGTCGTTGATGTCATTGCCCTGAATGTACAGGACTTCCAAACCGCTCGAGCTGAGGGATTCGAAGGGGAAAACCGAAAGTGCGTTGTGTGACAGGTTGAGTTCTTTGAGATTAGCTCCACCTACGAACTCAGTGTCGAGGTTGTTTGAAGACAGATCGAGATACTGGAGCCCGCCCCAGGTACGCGTAAAGCTGCTACCGAGCGTCGAAATGTTGCAATTGCGCAACGTCAGATTCGTTACTGTGACTGGCACGAAGTCTGACTTCGTCGCCGCCACAGCGTTCAAATCTAGTTTAATGAGTGAAAGCGTGGAGATCTGTGTGGAATTGTTCACCGACCGCACAAGGGTCAATGAAAAATTTGAGGCCTCACGGTTTTCATCGATAAAAGTGATTTCAGCCGGAGAATCGTCAGTACTTACAATCTCCAGCGTCTTCAGACTTGATGGCACCCAAATTGGACGGATGGTGTTGATCGCCAGCTCATTTGAGGATGATTTCGTCAGCGACCGCCTCGTTGCGCTTGTGGAAAAGTTCTGCGACTCGGTAGTGACGTGGAAAGCCCAAGAGGATGCAGTCGCATTATATCCTGTAAGGCATGTACAGGACGCGTTGAGTGCCGTAAGCTCGTCTGGGCAACCGCCATTCGGGGACTCAATGTTGGAGCGAGTAATTAGCGCCGGTAGACCATTGCACACCCGGTACGACGCACCCGTGGTCATGGCGGAGCTATTAGCACTGACGACAAGCTGCGTTTCGTGAGCTCTAATTCTACTGGTGAACCATTCTTTGAGTGAATCTGACGACGACAAATTAGATGAACGTGAGGACGAAGTTGTCATGTATCCGCTAGACGAAGGCGTGGCAGGGCTTGTATCAGATAAAGTTGCCGTCGAGGTGGCCAAGCTTTCGGTGACAGTACTGCTTGCTTTTGTGTTATCAATGATCGTAGCAGACCCATTTGACCCGTTCGACGTGGTGGTGGACGCTGTCGTACTGGTAGTAGTCGAGGTCCCGGGTGTAGCAAGATCGACATTGCTCGCGTAACTGCTCGTCGATCCCGTGCCGGCGGATGTCTTTCTATTTGTCTCTGTTCCACGCGTTGATATTGAGCTGGTCGTCGCGATGCTACCCGTATTCGTGGAACTTGCCGAAGTTCCTTCATTCGTTTCTTCGGCTGACGAGGGTGTCGAAGATGTGCTGGTTGATACTAAAGGAGCGGTTGACGTCCTATGGGAGGGAGCAGCAGAGCTTCCTCCAGCATTGGTCAATTGTGAGAGTGTAGAGTTACTAACAGACCTGTTTGTTTCGGAATCTGTCTTGGACGTCACAGTCGTGGCACCCGAAAGAGTTGTCGTGGTGCTCGTGCTATTCACCCCATTATCAGGTGTGATTGTCGTCACTGGCGAAGAACCGTTTTCACTTTGCGTTGTCGTAATAGTCGTAGTGGTGACCTTGCCAGCACTTTCATCCGTGGCTGAGTTGGCTAAACCGGTAGTGTTTGAAGTCGTGCTATTACTAGCGTTCAACGCAGTCACCGTTGTGGTTGTAGTCGTGACTGTCGTGACTGCCCCTTTATTTGAGCTAGTTTTTTTCGTGGCAGTCACCAACGAAGGCATTAGCGAGGTAGTTCCTGTCTTGACGTTTTTTCTAGTCAAGACCCTAGAGGAGATAGAGTGGCCCCGCAGCGACACCATTATAACAAACTGGTGCGAGTAAGACTTGGTGGGGTGATGATGTTGTTAGACGTAAGATAATATTGTGATGGTCTCGTTCCGCTATGCCTCAGCCGAGTCGGTCAAGTAAGACACAAGAAAAGCCACCAAGATGTCAGTGGACACTCAATACAAAACTTCCACGAGTGCAATGAGGACGGTGCATTTTCGTGGCAACGGGACCTCCAAGGCTGAAAGTAATGTCTATTACTGCACTTGCTTCTGTACTCTTAACGCCTTTTAACGTGCCCACCTCCACAAGTACCAAGCTTGACTTGCCCTTAAGCGTTTCGTTTGGAGCTCTCGGGGGTATGTTCAGCCCATAACTGTCTATTTCGGTGCCGCTTTCTGCTTAATGTGACGTTGTAATTCGGTGCGACTTGTTACACTACAATGGGCTCTTTCGTATCAAGCGTTTAAGTGGACGGGCTCAGTTTCGAAACCAATGAGACATTTTTCCTCTGATACATCCCAACAATGTACGTCAGTCATCATAATCCGACACGAGAAGGTTTCTCTACGCTATGGCAGTCGAGTTTGCATTGAATTGTCAGAAGTACTTATTTTCTCAAATTGAGTTATTGTTTTTAAATGGAAACAACAAGGCAACAAGACATGTTTCCATGCAGGGCTGTCGGAAACCTTCGTGTTTCATTTAAGAAAAAGAGCTGTAGACCATGTATGCTATAGGAGAGACTAGAAAGGCCGAAAGCGACAGGACATTGGAATTGCACGAATGAAACCGAGAAGAAGTTTCAGTAAATATATAAGAACATACTGCATTTAGAGAAGGATGAAAAAGAATATACACCAACGTAGTCTTTAAAACATTCATCTTATGAAATCACCAATTTCATTTTTTTTGACAAAGTTACTCTATATATAGTCAGGTTAGACGAAAAAAATCCCCAAATAATCCAGATCGATTAATTTTTACTACAATAATCATGCAGGGGCTCGAGGAGCGCAAGAAAGCGCTCGAGAAAAAGTTTGTCGAAAAACGGCCACCGCTGGCCTACGCCAAACTTAGCGGGCGCGTGCTGGACGATCTGCCGTTCGAAAAGCTTGTAACGCATCTTCCGGCAGAGCTCGGACGCGGTCCTATCTCGTCGCTGCCTGACCATCGGATTGCGCTGGGGGAACAAAAGGCTATTTCGCGTCTGCATGCACGTATCCAATGGAATCAGAGCGAAAGCTGCTTTGAGTTGCAGTGTCTGGGCAAGAACGGCATGTTTGCGGATGGTAAGTTCGTGTCCAAGAACCAGACGATCAAGCTCAGTTCCAAGATGCCCCTTAAAATTGGTCAAGCACGGGTCTATTTCTTATGTGCCATTCGGTCGACGATCAGTACAATGAGTGGGTTTAAAATTATCCAAAAAGTAAGAGGATTTTATTTGAGGATTTTTGGTAGTTTTTTTTAATCTGATATTGTGAGGGGATATTCTAGGCGTTTGAAAAGGCCAAATATCACAAGGGAGTGACGTCAATGACAGCGGACCAAGTGTGTGACCAGATTCTTGAAAGTTACATCAAGAGTGAGCACGAACTCGGTGGAAAAGAACATCTGCGTACATTTGTCACGTGAGCTTTTTTTGTAGTTTTTTTGAGATGCTGGAGAAAAAAAATCAAAGTTGATCAAGTGTGTGAGTTTTGCTGTTTCTAGAGCGTACTTGGAGGAAGACACGGGCGCGTTCGCGCGTAGTGAAGGAGGATCATCTTCAGTACCCGTCTATATAATGAAGCCGGTGGCTACAAGTGAATTGAAGAAACAGAGTGTGACAGTCAACGCAACCTCCAAGCCTGAAGAGACTAGTGAAGCTCCAGTGAAGAAGCAGAAGATTGCTGCGTAAGTCTTTGGTGTCAAGAAGACTTTATCTGTGGGAGCTCTACACTTCAAGTTGATTTGAGAAAATATTGCACAACCGATTTGTTTTACTTTGAAATAGTCATAAATCTGGGCGTCCGTCCACATTGCTCTTCGTTCGAGAAACAATAGCGTTCTACTCATATTCGCTGGAGAGGAATCCTGCTGTGACAATCTCATCAGGTTCAGGCTCCGAGTCGGGATTGTCGAACTGCATTTCGCGAATAAGCTCTTGAATTGCAAGTACAACCTCTGAGGCACTGGGTCGGTTTTCTGCTTTGCCTTCGAGACAACTTGCAGCTAATGAAAGCACACCGGGAGGACAATCGTTGTAAAACGTCGGGCGCAGCGAGCCTAATGCTACCTTTTCAAGGATCTTTTGTTCCTGTGAACGCCTGTCGCCGAGGTTGCCCTGCCCTGGGATGTTTCCGGAATTCCAGTACGGGTAGTCGTCCGTGTCAAGTTCGGAGAGCACAACACCAAAGGAGAAGATATCCGCGTGCTCGTCATAGTCTTTGCCGAGCAATACCTCTGGAGCAATCCAGAACGATGTGCCAACACCCGGGGTCATGAATTTCTCAGGAACGCCTTCGACATCTGCCACTGGGCGCTCACGCGAGACACCAAAATCGCTGAGCTTAGCGTGAAACTCGTCGTTAAGTAGCACGTTTTTGGACTTGAGATCGCGGTGAATTACCTTGGGATTGAGCGAATGCATGTATGCAAGGCCCTCTGCAATATGAAGCGCAATGGTGAGCTTGAGGCCGTGCCACGTTAGCCCATCGTCAATTTCACTTCCTTCGTGTTTCAGAGTGTGCAGTACATCTCGCAAATCTCCACGTTCCATATACTCCGTTACAGCACTCAAGTTGCGCAGCGAGTCCCACGCAACGCCGATAAACTCTACAATACGTTCGTGCTTGAGTGATCCCATGAGCGTGATCTCGCGCACAAACATGCGGATTTGTGAGAGCTTCTCGCACTTCTCGCGCATGATTTTCTTGATGGCCACGCGACGGCGCTTGTACGTACCAGTGTACACAAGCCCAAAACCTCCTTTGCTGATGCAGCGACCAACTTCCACGTCCTTGTAATTTAGTCGAAATGACATGATCAGTGGATCGTCGAGTATTCCTGCGTGTAATGTCGGGTGAAGTGTGTTGTAGACCGCCTGTGAAGCAGTGGTCTCCATTGCGCCTGGTGTTTGAATGTCTACGGCATTAGGCGAAGCTGAGCCTGGCTTAATTTGATGCTCTTGTTGGTATCGTGCCAATCTTATAGCAAGAAAGAACAGCAGGAACCCCACAATACATCCACCAAACGCTGCTACCAGCATGAACGCTGTCCAGTTGGTTGCGTTATCGGCGCTTTTTTGAGCTAGCGCCATCTCCGAGGCTGAAAGGCTGCGTGTACTATTGGAAACGCAAAAAACTGTGCTGTGTACTTCCTCACGTTCACAGTCACTTCCACTGCCATTGAAATTCCCTTGTACATCGATTCGAAAGACTAATAGCTGTGAAATGATTGCAAACTCGTCGCTTGTGACTGTCAAGTTTGTGATAGCATTGCCGCTCAGATCGCTGACACGTTCAAGACGTCAAAGTGAGCCAAAATTGTGTTGATGACAAGTGCTCCAGTACGTACATCTTTTGAAGGTTTGGAAACTGAAGTAGATGACGAGGAAACTCCGTAAAGCTGTTGTTTGCCAGATTTCTGCTCCATAAACATCGAACGCACGAGTCAGTATATGAATGGAAGTAGCTTGAAACAGACGTACTCACATTTCAGTCATCGCGTTCAAGGCCTCAACGGATCCTGGCAGTCTAGTGTAGATGCTGGATATCTTGTTAGACGCTAGATTCCTGCGAAGCAAAGCATCAACACACAACTATTGTCAGCAAGAATGAACAGTCCGTTTGTAATTAGCTGACGTACAATGACTCGAGGGCTGTGAGACTTTCAAGAAAAAGTTGTCCGATGCTGTTGAGATTACAACGTCGTATCAATCTAGGTACCAGCACAAGCAGGTTAGGCTAATGAAAAATGACATTGATCAAAGTGTATGCTTGCTTACAGATTTGACACCGTCGCGGGGACGAAACCAACTTCAATTGGCACATCAACAAGGTCCAGGTTGTATAAATCACTGCCACAGATTTATAAGTTAGCTCAACAGGACTCGACGAAACGAAACATTAGGCTGGGGAACGTACACTTTCGTGAGGGCTGACACCTCCTGCGAGCGAACAAGGGCCAAGCTATCATCTCCAGTTGTCGCTTTCTCTAGGTGCACAGGAACTAAATCACTGCTCTCTCCTTGTATTTTGCTGCGCAGCAAAATCACGTGAGTCGGCTATTCGAACAGCATGGGGTGATTTAAACGTACAGGATGAGTAAGTCGGAAGGAACGTCGAGCAGCATCAACGAGTTCACTTGAACGATGTTTCTATCGCTAAATGTCGTGGGGAACGGGGATATAGCGTCTCCGTCGGGAGCACGAACATGGAACTCCCACAACGTTTTGTTCGCAAAGCCCGATAGGCACGAGCACGATAGGTTATACCGACTTTGTGCGGGCAAGCACGCACCATTGGCGGGGACTGTCGTGGACTTAAGTATTACCACTGGATTGCCATCGCAAACGCTTTCCATTAACAGGGCGTCATTTATGATGGTCAGACGTTGTTCATTCTCATCCATCGTAGACGCATATCCTCGGGCAATGTACGCGGCAGTCTCGTCAGCGTCCTCCTCGTTGCTCAAGCCGCTAGTACTGCTTTTCGTGTAGTAAGACTCCTCTCCGGTCTGAAGTGCTGAAACAACTCTTGGAATGGAGCTGTCCCCGCTGTCCTGTGCTGCAACACTAACGACTGCAATTCCGACCAAGCAGACGATGAAGCAAAGTACGCCTTGTTGACGTAAGGTCATGGCTGACCGGTTGTACCGAACGAAGCGGTTGGAAATATGTGACGGAGATATTGACTGGATGCAGGTCGGAAAGTGTGGAAGACTTGGCACCAGCCACACAACTTATAGAGTATCTGGAAAGGAGCTTGCGCGAGTGCTTAACGGGTGGAATGGCAGATTTCTCGCTTCGTCTCCACTCACATTTAACCGTCGCCTCTACCTCAATCACTATCAGTTACGTGCGACGCAAAGTCGACGTTTGTGCTCAAGTTTGGAATTTCCACCGAATCGTAGGGACAATCCGTTAGGGCTCTAGTCAAGTGTGCTGGACTTCTCCACTCAACACTGCGTCCCACTAGAGGAAGTAGTACGGAAGGTCGCGTCGAGGGGCTTTTTGCACCAGAGATACCCCGATCCGACACCAACCACCCCACATATGATGATTCAGGCTCCTCTGTCTTGCCGATCTTAACCATATCAAGCTTGTTTGATGGGGGGGGGTCAAGAAGCGCCTGTAGCCAATGTGTCTTTGTAGAGTGCAGTTTACAAAGGCTTCTGAAAACATGCTCGGTCCTAGCACCAACTTTATTCTAACAAGAGACTCATAAAAGGTATCTCCATGCAACTTCATCTACACGTGCTGGCAGCTCTTCTTTACATACATCTTTTTTTCTTTAATAGATCAGCATTTACTCTAGGAACCCATCTCGTGACAGACAATTCAGCCCCAACCGATATCTTTACGAAACCTTTGGATCGACCTGTTGACACAGTACGAGCTTTCACAGGTGATTCAATTCCAACTGCGTTCGCAAAGCTAAAGAAAAAGTATTCTATAGGAGTCATAAGTTCATTTTTACAGACCCTCTAGTTCATAACAGAGTCACGTTCACCGACACTTTACGTAGGTCGCTAACAATGATAAATTCTGGCTCTTACTTCGGTACCAGCAGAATCAGCAGCCTCGTTGTCGATCATGCTGTCGACTTGCACTGATCTTCTCCCGACAAGATCAGTGCAAGTCGACAACATGATCGACAACGAGGCGACTGGCTTGTAAAAATTTACGGCCTGTCGTCTATTCCCACAGGCCTCATTTCTAGCAACTCTCAAAAACATTCTTCATGCCGAACTCAAATCACGTCGATTTGAGAGTGTTCAGTATCTTAACAAGCGATTGTGCTTTGAACTCCTCGAGTTTTTTTTAGAACACGTCTCTTTTTAGCAAATTCGTTTTTCTGCAATGATGTATTAATTCTCAAAAGAGTTTTGTCGTACCGGTAGTCATACCGGTAGTCATACCGGTAGTCTATACTTAATTAATAGGTACATAAATAGCCATATCGACTATCTACCTGAGCCACCTGTGAATACAAAGGTTCATGAGACGAAAGTTGAGAATTTTTGTCATGACTTTGTGTTTTGACCTGGTTTTATGACTTGTTGGGTAAGTTCCGACCTGCATGAATGGTGTAACGACATCCCCACGGGGTCAGTCTAAATTTTATTGATACAGTATTGTCAGCAATAGCGAGCTTTCGAGTATTGCAAGGACTTGAACCCCTTTAAAACAAAGGTTTCAAACAAACTCATGGATACTTTGGCTTGAAAATGAGACAATGAGACAACAAGAGGGTCTAGACGATTGACCTTTTTATGCTGATCGTTTTGAGTAACATGGCGCGTAACGTCAATCGTGCTGTACAAAATTCGTCCAGAACCTATTTTCAAGCATCTGATTGGATCAAGAGTCGTGACGCGCAGTGCATCACTTCAAGAACGCTGTTACTACAAAAAGGGCTCATTTGAGTTTTTGCACCGTAATACCCAAGTGA